ATGCTTGAAGATGGGCGCAGTCAGTGCAATACAGCGAGAACTGTTGGTGTGAGTCTTTCCACAGTTCAGCGGGTACTCCAGCGTTTCCATGAAACTGGATCCAACCTAAGAAGACCAGGAACAGGCCGAACGAGGTGTACGACTGCGCGGGAGGATCACTATATGGTGTCAACAATTTGAGAAATCGATTTCTTACGGCCGTTGAGGTAAAAAATCACCATTTACGAGCTGGAGGAAACTATCTGAGTACAGATACAGTAAGGCGACGTCTGGCTGAAGCAAATTTGAGACCATTAAGGCCTGCAAATGGCCCAAAATTAGAAAGACACCACTTAAACTCAAGGCTGAGTTATAGCAGAGAACACGAAACTTGGACTCTGGATGACTGGTCAAGAGTTATGTTTTCAGACGAGTCTAGATTCTGTTTATACAAGCACGATGGGAGGAAAAGAGTGTACCGAAGACCGGGAGAGCGCTATAACCAAGCTTGTATAGAAGAAAAAGTACCATATGGCGGTGGCTCTATACACGTGTGGGCTGGGATTTCTTCCGAAAGCCGTACTGAGCTAGTAGTGATAGAAAATGGCAGTTTAACAGCAGAACGATATTTGAATGAAATTCTTAATGACTATGTTGGTCCATTTTTAGTAGATATGGGCGAAAATGCTGTTTTTATGCAAGACAACGCCCGCCCGCATACAGCTCAGATAGTGGTCGACTATTTTCACGAAGTAGGTATCACATGCATGGAGTGGCCAGCACGAAGCCCCGACTTAAACCCCATCGAACATGCATGGGACGAACTGGGACGACGTGTACGTCAACGGAATCCGCCGCCAATCACGCTGCGTGAATTGAAAGGAGCTTTGATCAAGGAATGGCAGAACATTCCGCAGCATCGCCTTAAAAACCTTGTGGAACGTATGCCGAATCGCATAGCCGCAGTTTTGCAAGCTCGTGGAGGCAACACGAAATACTAACATGCGTAAAAACGTCACATCTTTATACAATTCATATTTACGAAAATGTCAGAAAAACTACCTTTTTCATTCGTTTGACATTTATTGAAAATAGACAACTTTTAATTTGTATTTTTTTATATTCAATAAATTACAATTAAATAATCTTTAATTTAGTTTTTATTTCATAAAAATAAGTTAAGTAGTCTTCAAGATATTGACGATTTTCTAACCGACCCGTTTTCTTTGCGGTCCAGTGTAGATATGTAAAAAATATATAAGCTAAATTTTACGTTAACTAACCAAATTCGTAAATTTATGAATAAATTATTATTATTTATTTATTATCATCAGCCTATTAATGCAGAAGCACAGATCTTCCCTATGGACAGAATCAAATTAAAGCGAAGAGGTAGAATGACGGATTGATCAGCACTAAACAAAGTACCAACGGCTTCAAGTGACTTCCGAAGCACGGAGAAGCTCCAGAGAATATTTTTTGATCACTCATTCTAAGACCGGCCCTTGCGAAATTTAACAACCGTATCGCAAACCGAGCTGGTCGATAAGTTAATAAATCAGGTCAAATAATTGAGCACGTAAATTAAAATACCCTGTTTGTAGATTAGCGAAGCTTTCAACAGCGTTTGCTCCTAAGCACTCGCGCGGATCTGATTTAAATAAGCGTGACGTCACTTGCTCCAATGGGTTATTATTATGGAGTGTGTACACTATCACGGTCACTTCGAACTAATGTGGCGCATGGTGAATTTTCATTTGCATCGAAATCAATTATAAAGATGACCGAAGGAACGATCAGTATTTTCAATAAATATAAAGAATAAATACTACGCACTAGGTTTCCATCTCTTTCAGAATGAATAAAGGCGGGTGAATCGACAGATGGCGTTATACTTGGTTAATTTTTTTGACCAGGATTGGCTATGCTTTTGAATTTACCTTTTGCACAGGTTAGTATTCTGTTAGTGAACCACGAGTATATTGGTGGTTTCGTTCGAATAGGTTTATTGAAAAAAATATAGAATTGGAAAAATGGCTGAACAAAAGTTAAGGGATAATATTTTCGGGGCCATTATCGTGCGTCACCTGTGTCGTGAGGGACATCGGTGGGTTTTAACTAGCCCCATTCTGAAGGTGAGTCCACAGGGGAGTCCCACATAACTTGTGGAATTCTTGCTGAGGGAAGCGGTATGTAAGCATTTCCCCTAGTCAAAAAAAAAAGGATAATGTGACTGTACGTAACAGGTTATTTTACATTACCTATGGTGAAATTTGTGATTCAATAGTTTAAATTTAACCTATTTAGAGTTCCACTACTCTTTTTAAGTAGATTATCAAAATAATAATAATAAAACATTTATTTGCATAAAACATGATATAAAATGTTGATTCAAATTAGTATTCCCCATACATTAAGTTCTCATGTTTTGCTATATTAAATACATCGTTTACATAAATTAATCAATTTTAAAATATATTCAAGTAAGTATTTCTTTTAGTACTTTTGCAGGAAAAAAATAATAAACATGTTGATCACTTTGTATCCGAAGGCTATATACAAAACTTTAACAATAATAGTAACGGTTTGCGAGTAATTAATTGAAGTTATATTTTTACGATCTGTCATTCTTTATCGCCCTTTTATAGGGACAGTTTTTAAGAATCCGTACCCTAAGTTCGTAAAAAAATTCCGATATCCGTCTCACGAACCGTGATAGTAAGATAGTTTAAAGTTTCATGATGTACTTCTGTTGGCGTTATAACAAAAAATAGTAAAAACTGAATAAAAAAATATTTAAAGTGGCTCTCACACATCCAGTGTGATTTTTTAAGTTTTTCATAGATAATAGAAAACGTAAAATATTACACAGAAATACACTGTGCGGGCTGACTAGTTGGGCGACTAGCACTTGGCTTGTTTTTTGTCTTTACGCTGAACTTTAAAATACATGTAATGAACACCCTCCCTAATAAAGAATAATGCCTAAGTTACTAGTCAAAGTACCACTTGTTTAATGGATTATTTAATTAGATTCGTCACTTCTGAAATTGGGTCTAAGAATTATATAAAACTTGTTTCTTGTTCTGTTTATTAAAAAAAAATGATTGCACCATGCCTTATTCGATATTTTAATATTTCATATTCAATTATTTTAAATGATAATTAGTTCTAAAAATATTTACAGTATTGAAAAAATTAACTTCAGCTCTAAGTTTTTCCAGACCCTAAAATTATAGTAATAAATTCAGATGTTAACACATTAAATCATTTTGGTATGAATATGGTTGTGATTAAGAAATTTAAAATATATTCACATGTAATATATGCCATCAGCTATCATTTCTCATCATCATCAGTCCTTTTACGTCTCCACCGCAGGGGTTCAGGCCTTATACCCGGAGCGTGCGTTCTGCGATCCCGGGCGCCATCTCGTAATGTGCAGACACACCGCAGGGGTTTTACCAGGTCCGTGCGACTGGTGAGTGGAGTATACGTCCATGAGGTGGATTTCCCTGCGTCAAAAAAAGGGGTTCAGGCCTTTCTTACGCATGGTTATGGAGGATGGGCCATGACCCTCCGCGCTGGGCGGATTGGAGGATATTAACTACTGCAATTGCAGCCACGAGTAGCTCGACATAATATTTTTTTTGGTAGCAACTATCGCAAGGGTCGATTAAGGGATGGCCTTAATCGATCCTTGCGATAGTTGCTTAACAACAACGATTGTAGGCCGAGGCGATTATCCAATACGCCACCGAGCTACTCAGCGCTACTATCATTCCTGCGCACAATAAATTAGATTGCGACATTCTTTTTCCATCTTTAAGTGTAATAAAAATAAAAGCCCTTTTGTTATGCACTAAATGATAAAGTTACCAGAACTCCTATCTCCGGAACAATATAAATAAAATCACTATCTAACCTAAATATGCCCAATTATTGAAATGTTTTGTAAATGTTGTCGTGTTGTCGTGTATACACATAAATGTATGACTGTTATTATTTTCACCCAAGTAAATAGAAAATAAATAATGTTGGAGTTTAATATTGCTATTAATAATGCCTGCTACCAGTTAAATCGATCCGATATAGTGTCTGTTATCAGACGGTTTCCGGGAAATGCCGCCATTTTCATTAGACCATTTCCCAACATGGCCGGGAGGTGTAACCGTCACATCCTGAGATTATGACTATGTTGAATGCAATAATATTTAACATATTCAAGTAAGTTAATGGTCACGCAAGGATAATTTAGGAATGTTTACAATATGTATGAAATACATGTTACATATGTAATACATTTTATATCTGTTAATATTTGTAATAGTACTTCATTGTAATCAGACGTCAAAATAAATCCATGAATTTTTATTCTGCAATAGCTTTTAAGTCCATATTGAAAGAAATGTTGCGATGCAGTCAAAGAAAATATTATACGAAATTATTTAAAAAAAGCTAAGTAATAATAAGTTCATCGGTATTTTTTCTAATTTTTGTTTGGATTTAATAAATAAAATAAATTAATACATTTATCATTAAAGTTCTCTTTTCAGAAATAGAAGGTACATTAAAGATACAAGTTTCAAATCGTATTCTTCACAAAGTATCTCAACGCCATCTATAAGCCATTACTGAAAACGCATGTCACTTTTTATGTGGTAAATGTAAATACAGCTTTACTGCTTGCTTAGTAATAGCACTAAGCGACTGCTTTGCGTAAGCGTCAAGTATTTCATTGAGATAATGATAGATGGCGCTATATTAACCCGCTAAAAATCTAAGCTTTTACCAGAACTCTATTACCTATGCAAATTAAGGGGGAAATTAATATTTCGCTAGTTAGAACACACTTAATTTATTTAATGTTCTTATTTGAATAAACATGTACATTTTAAAATCGTAGCTATCTTCGATAGATGTCACTATACAGCAATGAATCTCGATAGCGTTACTTTTTTTAAATACCTATTAGCTGTTACTGTGGTAATCAATTCGAACTTCTGTAATACCCGTGTAAAATGTTGGAAAACTCAAGAAATAAGATGCGATTGCGAAAATTACTAGACGTAAGTCAAGGCAGGTAAGGGACCACGGAAGACTATGCAAAAGGTTATTCTACTCTACGTTTTAAACTTCGATCCAATAAAATTGATTTTCTACTTACCTTACCTTTCGAGTTCTATTTATTTATGAGTGTATTATTGTTTTTTTTTTTTTTAATTTATTAATACACTTATCTGCAAAAGATTTTTGGGTTGATTGATTCAATGGAATAATATCTAGACCACGAATGTTTTATAATAACAAGGTTAATCAGTTGTTATTTTATAATTATAACCTATTGTCTCCTTTTACATATCTCAGGACCTTACCTTTCGAGTTCTATTTATTTATGAGTGTATTATTGTTTTTTTTTTTTTTTTAATTTATTAATACACTTATCTGCAAAAGATTTTTGGGTTGATTGATTCAATGGAATAATATCTAGACCACGAATGTTTTATAATAACAAGGTTAATCAGTTGTTATTTTATAATTATAACCTATTGTCTCCTTTTACATATCTCAGGACACGATCGCATGTGAATGAAATGCGTGAAACTAAAATTTCAGAAATTATGGATACTGAAAACGAAAAACTAACATTAGAAACTTCAAATAGAAGCAAAATGAAGAAACGAGTGTTCAAAACATTGGAGATGTGGGAACAACGACGACCTCAAGTAATTTATTTAGACCAGGAAGCTGATTAAATTTAAGGCAATAAGTATATAAATTAATAATTGTGAAGCATTAATTTTGTTTAAAGTTATTAAAAAATTATACATCAAATATATTTCTAGACAAAAAAAATGACAATCACTAGGTATGTTCTTCAATTTAAGGTTCCATGCTTTATCTAATGGAAAGAGATGCATCGGTGTATAAAAGTATACGCACTACACACTAAAAAATAAAAATAAGTAATTGACTTTGAAAACGGTCACCCATCCGATGTTCACAAACGTAAAGGTCGCTTCACATCCACGATCGCAAGTCGAACGCGTGCTTCACCTACTTTCGAATGGAGCGTTTATTTTTCAGCAATTAATGTTAACTGCGTCGCATCGACGGGTAAGATTAATGATTGTGCTCATTATAAGGATGAGTCGCGGGTTTCGAGCAGGTGACGTAAACAGATATCAAGTGCGATAAGGTCTTCTCGTTAACTAACATCTGTAAATAAAATTGGAGTGTCTGTTTGTAATATTAAAATAATAATAAATACTCTTTATTGAAAAAAAAATATTATTCTGAGCTACTCCGTGCTTCGGAAGGCACGTTAAGCCGTTGGTCCCGGCTGAACTTTCAGTCGTTAATACCCTCCAATCCGCATTGGGCCAGCGTGGAGGGTCATGACCCATCCTCCTTAACCATCCATAAGGAAAGGGCGAGTCCCTGCAGTGGGGACGTAAAAGGGCTGATAATATTAATATTATTTTAATATTCTCTTTATTGCACAAACAAACCTTGCATTGGATGGAAAAAAACAAACATTAGATGGCAGCTTGAGCACATAAGACAAATTAAAATTAATATAATACAAAACAAAACGCAATAACAGTTGCAACGGCGAAGTATCACAAAAAAATTACATAAAGTCAAACAAAATGCTCAAAACACAAATGACAACCTGAACAAGAGAAGTGAGAAATGAAATTGAAAAGCAGGTTAATCGTTTGAGAGGTAATGGGATTTAAATAGAGATTTGAAGGAGTTTATCGATTTCGCTCGTGTGATAGATTCAGGAAGAGAGTTCCACAGTTTTATTGCTTGTACTGTAAATGACTGACTATAGAATTTAGTGAGATTGGGAGGAACCGCTCCTATTTATTATACAAATATCATTTTTTACAGTTTTGTCTGTCTTTCTGACTTTTTGTTTCGGATAATCTCTGAAACGGCTGGACCGAATTTAATAGGACTTTCACTGACAGTGCCTCATGCAATAACGTTAAATTAGGCAACTTTCCACGCGAACGAAGTCGCAGGCACAGTTTCTCTTAATATTGAAAAATAAAATTGGCTAAAAAGGAAATGTGTCGTTGTATGAGAACATGAGGATTAATTGTGCTTGCTAGTCGAATAGCTCGGTGGCGTAGTGAATAAGCGCCGGTGCCCACAATCGCCGTTACTAAGCAACTATCGCAAAGGTCAGTCACGGGATGGGTGACCAAAAAAAATTTATTTTCAAACTACTCCAACCAATGCCTTACAGTGGTCACGTAAAAGGGATATGATGATGATGAATTTTCCTTCCAAAATCCCTTTCAATTTGACATTTGAAAGATATTCACCGACTTCACGCTACAAATATTTGATCTAGTTCTTTTAAAGGCATTTGATTAACGATATCGTAAATTGCTGAATGTTAATATTTTTTTTTCGGTCCACCTAAAGGTACAAGCAAGACCATATTACTAAGACTCCGCAGTATGTTTGTTACCAGGCTGTATCTCGTGAACTGTTATAGATAAACAGTTGAAATTTTCACAGATGACGTATTACTATTACCACTAAAAGATACTAAAAACAGAATAATATAAATACTTAACGAGTTCTCCTCAGAGTTATGTTAGGTTTACTAACTATTATTATGAGTTGTGTTGAATAGTATACATTTCCTAAAGGCCTACTCTACTTTTGAAACGCTAATATAACATCAAAAAAGCTTATTTTATGGTGCGACAGACGTAGTAAACTGCCTCTAATGCATAAACAATCTTCTCGGATATGAATTTAATAAAGTTATAAGAATGATTCGAAGTTTTCCGAATTATCGTTCGTGGTCTGGTCGCCCTCAAGAGTCTTCATTGTTCAAAAGGATACTGCCAATATATTCCCAAGTATAGTCAGCAAAACATTCAAAATTGTAATATTTTAAAATTGACTTTGACTCTTATTCAGCAAGACAATAATTGAAAATTGTTGGCGTTTGTGATAGCTTAATATGGTGCTGTAAGTACAACAGCATGGAGTCGAGTCTCTAGGCGCATCCGTTGCAGTCGGACTGTAGCCATAATTGGTGAACTTTTAATGGCGATAATTGGACCAATCCGGTGAAGGCACGGTCCACCGTTGAGCACTCTCATTTGCATTTTTCGGCAAAATTTACCGCAGCACAAAGATTTCGCTCGATCGTGTAATTAAATCTTTTGATATTTTTGTTTGTTATTTTTATTTAACTGCAGTAACTTAATCATGGAACGTATTTAAAATTATTATCCAAACTTATAAAAAGTTAAAAAAAAATATTTTGTGTAATATTAAAATCATGCAGAATACATTTCTTTATTCATATTATTTCAATTAAAGCTCTAGAACATTCCATTATGTTGATTTTGTAGTTATATGTTTTCCGTAAATATTGATTACTTGGACTTAAATAAATATATACGATCCCCTCAGTATGACAAAAGATCTTCTTTCCAATACAAAATAACTTTTAGCACCTATAAAAATTTTATAAAAGAAACATCCGAAGTGTACCTCTAGTGAATTGTTGAAAGCAATTCTGTGTCGCGAGTAATGGCGCAAAGAAACAATTAAGCAACTCTCCACACATTACACTTGCAATTGTTAAGCATAGTGTAGAACTGCTGGAAACTGTAATTTTAAAATTTCATATCGTAAAGTACTTATTAATGTATGGTTATCTGTTTTGACCCACACCCAAAGAATAACAGTGACACTCACATGTGATATTGCAGATTTATCTCTCATTGGTTAAATTAGAGTAAGTTCAAGTTATTTTTTACCTTTTAAAGGAAAAGTTTTGAAATTATAAATACTCGTATATACCCATTCGTATTATTTAATAGCATTAATGTTTATATAGGCGTCCCTTATGGATAAAATCACGTAGCTTTGATGATAGGTATATTCATATAATAAAATCTATGCTAAGAACACAAAAAGAATGACATATAATTCACCATACGGGCCTTATATAGATTGGCAGGTATTAACAACTACAAGATATAGCAGTTACTGGCTTGCATTAGGTGCCTTTTGAAGCATGGAGGACTTTGTGATAATAACTATTTAATAATCCATATAATTACCTGCCACTACAAAAGTCGCTTATAAAAATATCAATTTCAAACTAAAATGGGATTTATCTACGAAAATCTTAAACTTTGTATAATCAACTTCGAAAATTACCAGTTAAAGAAATTTATAATTTTAAAAAGTTGACCTCCATAGCCCAGTAGTTCACATGCTGGTTTTAAGATGAAACCATCTTTGAGGTCCCAAGTTCGATTCCCGGTCAGGTCGGCGTAGAAAATTGATTTTTCTATATTGCCTCGGGTCTCGGTGTTGTGGCACCTTCGTTATCTCAGATACTCATCTTGAAATCTGAGCAAATTTATTTCTTTAATAATGTCGATGTAAGTCTACACTTAACTTTATATCTTAGTTGTGTCTTCAAAGTTTGTGCACTTTGACCAGTGAGCTCAAACATTTTGTAAACGGATACCATTGTGTGCACTCGATTGAACCGTGATTCTTTTAAAATGTCCGGAAAGTTTTTGATTTCTGTTTATTTATTGGTAAGTTTGTATTACTTGTTTGTTTATGTATTATGATTCCCTCAATATTCTATAAAAAATCAAACAATCTTATAAGAAAGTAAAAGAAATAAACTTTTATGTTGTCCAATTTCTTTGATGTTGCCTATTCAAGATGTGGCTGATTCTTAGGTTAGTCTTTGGCTTATACATACCTTATGTTAGGTAGGTACTCTTTAAATCTTTTTACATCGCAATCAGGCTGATGGTTTGCCATTTTAAACCTTTACTTAACGTTTATACAAGTAGTTTGTTTATTGATTTTATTTGCTTTGCTGAATTTTACTGGTGTTTCTTAGTAACAATCAGATACAAAAGCAGCCTTTAATTAGTTTCAAGTCAATTTTTCTCAGAATAAGACTGCTTGATAAAAATAAAGTTTTTCTACATTACGTTTTTTAACAACAGACTTTAATTTCAATTGTTAAAGTCATAAAATGTTTTTTTATAGAGCTTTTAAGTTAAATAATATTGTTTCAGGTAATTGTTCAAATGATACACACATTTTCACTTATAAATAATAACGGATGGACACCTTTAACACAAGAAGAGGTTATGAGAACGATGGATTCAGAATTCACGAGAAGGTCTTTTGTCAATCAATATAACAATATTCCTTTATATGGTTATCCCACACAGTCCGTTAAACTCAAAGAAAACGCTATCAAATTGTTGTTACCAAAAAGGTATTTACAAATTGAGAAAGAAAGTTTTAATCCCATAGACGCTAAAAAAGAAGTCGGCATACCCTTTCAGAATACTCAAAAATATTATAGCGACAAAGGTAACCAGATTCAATTATTCAAACGTACTTTGATCCTTAATAATAAACAGCAAAATCTGTTTCTTAAATCCCTTTCATTTTAATATTTAATTCTTGAGAATGAAACTCTAAATAGATTTTGCAAATTCATCATTTATCTATGACGCTTGTGCCTGCTTCTCATAAATTTCGAATAATACTAATTTTCATTTTATGTTTTAGATCACGTACTGTACCAACAAGAAGATAGTAATACTGATTTTGTTAGCAAGAAAAATGAAACTGATATTATTGAAATAAGTAACAGAACACCAAAATCACTATTTATCTCAACAGATCTAACAAAGCACGTGAGTAAAAAGGCAAAAGAAAACATGATTGTAGTAGGTAAACAAAATATCGTAGAACCGGATCTATATTTAAAACTAAAAGCAGACACAGAGAGGAACGGAAATGTTTATGAAGTTACTGAAGATATATCCGATGTTCCCGAAGAGAGAATGAACAGCAAGAAATCCGGATACATTTACAAACCCCCCGAGTTTAACGTCGAAACTTCAACAAAAGTCAATAGTTCGAATTTACTTTTGAATATCCTGACCAAATATAATATAGGACTTGAAGATGATTTGCCAAATTATACATTATCTCGTCTCACAAAAGGTCCAAGACCAAACTTCATGTCTGTTTTTAATCCTATGAATGTTCTTTATGGATTTAAAAGCTTCAATAATCTTATTAAAGATCCTTCGCTAGCAGTTTATCTATCAAATTATGGATACTACTTGCCAGGGTCTTATGGAATTCAAAATAAATACAGGAACTTATATGGCTATTTGGCATCTAATAATATCCATAATAACATGCCCTTTGGATCTTATAAAATTTATTCTGATACAGATTCGTCAAATTAAAAATTATAATTGTAAAGTGGTTACCATTTATTTTATAAAAGTAGTCGATGGATAATTTTAATTATTTCAGAATACCTATATTTTATTTAAAATCAATTTGGAATTTATATAAAATACTCAGGACTATTGATCCTTGAAGCTGTGAAAAAAATAAAGCTTCACAGCCAACGCAATCAAAAGATACAGCCGTTTATGCCGCAAATTTTCGAAACTCGCAAGGGAATCAAAACCTACAGGTTATTTCCCGTGAACTCACAATCTAGAAATTTGGTACAAAGTAACAATGTGAAAAATTTGAAGTTACATCATATAATAAAAAAGTTTAAGTTACCAATTAATTTTAAAATTTCCTCAACCACGAAATTCTTCTCTAAATAAAAGTTAATTGTATTCGATCTGCGCCGGCCACTAACTTTGGAATCAGATCACATAAGTTTCGAATTCGTTTAACTGATTGGCAAAAGTTTTGAAAGTGTAGCATTGGAGCAAATCCAAGCGACCACAAGCGTTGTATAGGCTCGATGAATAGTTTCAGAGAACCTTTGTGTTCGTTATGCCGCAGCACTTTTTTAGTATTCGTTACGTGATTTTTTTTAGTGTACCTTTACTACTGAATAAAATTGGTCCTGTTTATTTCTAGCTAGTGTTAATTTTTGTTTCATTTCTGTTTGGCTACAAATTTGAATAATATGTGGCCGAGCAACTGTAAATTTGTATTAATGTTAGCATTTTTATTAAGCGACTTCAAAAAAGGGGTTATTAATTCGAAATGAATGTATGTATGTCTACATATACTTCGCAAACTAGACGTTAGATTGGATTGATTTGGCAACGACCTCAAAATTGTTGGTGTATCTTTTGTTTGTGTTTCCATTTTATTGAAGATAAAAATTTATGGTATTATTTCTCTCTGTTCAATCGTTTCACTTTATTACGATTTTATGAACTCGGTTTAATTCTTTTTACTATTTTATGATGACAGACTTATAAGACCTTTTTTGTTTACAAGGTAAAGATTAAAAATGTATTATCGAACTGTTATTTTACTTTGTGGAGGAGAATTGTATCATCAGTATACATAAATAAATTTTCCACTTTACCGAGCAGCAGCTTAAAATATATCGTGTGCTGAATTGAAACTTACTTTGGCATAGGTATCGTTGTTTATCGCGTATTTGTTATTGCATAGTAGTTAATAATTTTCAACTGTTTTATACAAAAAAGTCACACTTATTTTTGGGATAAATTGCGTCAGATCAGATGTATAAATTTAATACCCTTGATATCTATGGTAGAGGTAATTTTAAATATCAATTTAACATGTTCAAATCATTTAAAATAAGTGTGGCTTAAATATTTATTTAAAAAAACAGTAATATAATAAACTTGAATCATGCTACAAAGATTTAACTTTCACTAATATAAAAAACGATCATGCGTATAAGTTGAGTCGAGAGCAATTATTCGCATTATCCAAGCTGACTTGCACGCATAGCATAATGAATTTGAGAAAACTTTTAAATTATTTGCCTCGGGTCTCTCATACAATATCTTATCATAGGGCATCAAATTTATTTAAAATAATGGCATGAGGATTTTATAAAAACCCTCAAACCATTTTTAAATAACAAGATAATAGTGAAGTGAACTTGAATGCGTATGCTTAACTGATGAACATTGGTAGTCCGGCAGTTGGTTTCACAGGTAGCCAGTGCCAAATCCTAGGAGTGGGCACGTGTCGTTTTATTGAGTTGGACTTTGTCCAGAATAGATTGGCCAAGCTTCGAACTTGTGCGAATTAGAAAGCAAATTTATACTGGAAATAAATATAGTAAAAGTATACGATGATATAAATAGCAAAAATCTGAGAAGAAACGAACAGAATACCATTTACTAAAACTTTTTACCTAATCACACACATTTAAATGTTTGGATTGTCAGGGTATATAATACATACCTACTAATATATCCTATATATCTCTTTCTATATCTTTCTATCGTTAAGTTTGTTTAACAAAAGTCACGATTCCGCTGCAGAGCGGCATTTTATTCATCAGACTGCGGCAATATATCGGGACACGCTCAATAAAACTCCAACATACGGCACTGTTTTCCTTGCAGCACAAAACAAAGGCGAAAGGCGGATACAGTTTCTCTTGATTAACAAGTAGAAAAATGTGAATGGTCTTAAATCCAATTATTATAAGAAATATATCTATGAGATTACATTTTTATTACAAGAAATATATCTATGAAATTAGCGTTTTACATGAATATAATTATTGGGAAATATTTAATTTTCCACACTTGTTAGTACCTTATTACTTTAATTCAACTATTGAGTTGAATTAAATTGAGATTTAAGATTTGTTTGTCTTAACCATGCACTGCATACTCATCAAACATCAATTTCACATGAAAATAAGTAAGAAATACATTTGTACATATTAAAATTTAGTGCCAAACACCGAAATATCTCTAATTTGAATGCGGAGCACTAATTCATGGGGTTTATGGTATTTAAAATTCAACATTCGTGCGTAACTCTCTGCGCGCAAATCGGACGCGGTCTTGGCTGTTTATTGACATTTTATCGATCCATCATTCCTTAATTCATAATATAATCACTTTTGTGATTTTTTTTTGTAGTGAAAAAACGGTTGACGCTTTTACCTAATGATGACAGCTTTTTAGAGAATCGGTCATCTACATAATTCTTCGCCACTAATGTTTTATCGCTGACGATTGTACATTGTACCACACGCCGTTGCATCTCTCGATGTTGAAGACTCTGAAATTTCTTCTTTTATATTGCGGAAACTAGACGACCAACCGATTTTAATGAGCTGAATAAATCTTATAGTCGTTTGTTTTTAATTTTAACCTTTATGATTATACAATAAAGTATTAAATTGACTACATTAATTTTGGATGTAGATTGATGGGGTGAGCTTCATTTGTTATATCAATTTTATATAATTACATACCATAAAGTTATTATTATATAATGAACATTTGTAATAACGGCTATTATCATAATTTCATTTAAAATAACACTGTGCCGCAGCAGCGGCCGGCGAGCACCATTTATGAGTTATTCATTAACTTAACTACCATTATACATTTATTAGGAGGAAAGGAAGTAAACCTAGTAAACAAATTAGGTTTTTTTTATTATAAATTGTTTCTAATGTTCTTTGTTTTATACAATCTTATAAGATTTGATGTCTATATGAAGTGACCACTATAAAAATTTAATATTATTGGATATCGTTCATATGTAAAATAATTGTTATATTAAAATATATTATAAGCTGAAGGGAATTTCTTCTAAAAATCATACGTTTTGAATTGTGTTTTCCGTTTGTTAATGAAATAATCGATATATTAAACTAAATTATGTTATTCGAAGGTATAGGTTGTAAATTTTATATATATTTTGTAATCATGCCATATATTACACATCCAGATTGATGTGTGATATTTACAGAATAATAAAAGCCTTATAAAACAACATTTATGATATAAACTTTCACGTTGCATTATATTGTTTGAAACGGGTATTGACGTGATAGATTGATAGGTTTTTCATCTACCTATATTTCCCGACGTTTCGACCGGGTTAACCGGCCGTGGTCACGGGTTGACTGGAAACGTGGTCACGGGAAATATAGGTAGGTGAAAAACCTATCTATGAATCTGTCGCGTTAATACCCTTTCAAATAATTCAACATTTATGAGCTCGTGGTAACTGATTTATCATCATCAATAACCCATTTATGTTCCCACTGAGGAACAGGATAACTGTATGGACGAAATCGTATCAACTCGGATAGGGAGAATCAGCCATGACCTACCAAGCGTGTCTAGTGCGGATTACTGGGTGTTAACTCCAGATGCAGCCGGGACGAACGGCTTAACGTGCCTTCCGAAGCACGAAGAAGCTCGAGATAATAAATGTTGGTCGCCTATCCTACGACTGGCCGTTGCGAAAGTTGCTTAACGAACTTATCGCAGAACAAGAGTGCCATCTACAGCGCCATCGAGCTCTTTAATTGATTACTTACTTCCATTAGTTAGTAACTCCATATGTAACGGACGACTTTCAATTCACTCGGTTTGTTTAAAAATAAACCATAATTGAATATTATACTCTAACTAGATTCATAAAAAAATCATCTAAATTAAGCGTTTACAATATTGCTTGGATAGTACTTCTTTTAGAACTGCAGTGAAAATATTTTGCAGTATCCTGCAAGCTCGCAGAGTCAGCTTACGCAATAAAGACTACGACAATTCAACGTGGATAGCATTGTTCCAAGGACAGATGCGACTAAGTGTCCGTTTATAAGAAATATTGAATCTAAATTGCGTTCAAAATCACGCTATATATTTTGCCTTTATTTTTTCGCATGACTTAAGTAGTGATGTTGCGATAGAAATAATTTATCGATAATATTAGTCTAGTTATTGTTCGATGAAATCTTTAAACTTTGATCTAGGTGTTGCACCTTTGTTGTCTCGAATACTCCAAAATACGAGGGATTTAGCTATCTTATTGTCTAATATTTATTTATTAATATATTTTATTTATATGCGAGTTCTCAGTAGTAACAAATTTAACTAGTGTTGTGAGATTGATAATGTTATTGTGGTTATGGTAGCTGAATTCATATAAAACAGCCACCCGGTTAGCGAGCAATGGTTTTAATTTTAAACTGAAATAAACACAATAAATGGTATATTGGTATATTATGTACTGAAGAATATGGATCGAGGTGGTCATGTTGATGTGATCTATACTGATTTTGAGAAAGCGTTTGATCGCGTGGACCACATCATACTGCTTACCAAGTTACAGGACTTGGGTATCAAGGGAGATTTGTTACGATGGATTAAATCATATCTAGCCAATCGGTCTCAAGTAGTCGTTATGGGTGGTTATCGATCTGATTTTATTATGATACCTAGTGGCGTTCCTCAAGGCTCACATTTGGGCC